TATATTTAAATAAATTCTAATATCTAATAACTTAATTAAATAAGATAGAATTAAAAATTTTATTTTGAAAAAATAATCTATTAATATTTATCTAATATATCAATCTTTTTGTAATGAATCATATTAATTATTAAAATTAATTTTAATTAATTTTTAATTTGTAATAATACTTTATTATTTAAAATATTAATATTTTAAATATTTTCAAAATTAGAAAAAGATTCTTAATATTTTTAATAATAACAATCTAATATAAGCATATGCTTTTTTATAAAATAGAATTAATAATTTATTCTTTAATAATGAAATAATTTCTAAATTAGAAAATTTAAATTTAGTTAGTAATGATAAATTTAATAAATAAATATTAATTTTAAATTATTTGAAGCAATTTAATGTTTTAATCCTTTTATATTCATATTTCAACCAGTAAATATAACATTTCATCTCATAAACTTATTTCTCAATTTAAAAATCAGATAAAAGAACATTTACCAAATTTAGCATAAATAGCATTAATTTATATTTTGACTTTTTTTTTTAACACGGAGCAATGAATTGCAAAACAGTAAGATCATCATCATGTTATAAAGTAATCTTTTTCTTTTGATCATTAATCAAAAATTTTCAATGAATCCCGATAGCAAAGATATGGTTGATGAAGCTGAATTTGGCGCGTCAGAACTTGGAACAAAGGAATAGTTTGTATTATTTATTAAATTATTATTAACCTAATGGATGGTTACATATGTATTTAAGAAAAGAATATTTGTTCAGTTGGGATTCGGTTTATGCACGAGAGGCTAAAAATTTTATTGCAAATGGTGATATTGGTGAGATTTGGTTTGGTGAAAATGCAGCGGAGAAGATGGTTAATTGGGTATGGAAATATATTTATTTGATTTTCAGTTTTGATTAACAACGCTTTCATTATCTTTCATCTAACGCTTATCTTTATTAAAAGATTCTAAAGCATGCGCCAAACAAATCAATAAAGATTTTAGAACTTGGCTGCGGAAATGGCCATATTCTTCTTGACCTTGCCTCACATAATTATACAAATCTCACGGGGATCGATTACTCTCTAAATGCAATTGAATTAGCAAAATCTATAGCTCAAGACCGTGGATATGAGCATGTGATAAAATATCATGTGGTTGATTTATTGTCTAACAACATACAAACAGGAGAAATTAATGATATTGGGTTTGACATTGTGTTAGATAAAGGAACTTATGATGCAATTAGTTTGAATCCTGAAATGGTAGCCAAACGAGAGAGAGGTGAAAAAGATCTGTACCCTGGATTGGTAAAAAGATGGTTATCAAAAAGCTCCGAATATAGTATTTTTTTAATTACTAGTTGTAATTGGACAAAAGAGGAATTGGAGCAACGATTCGGAGATGGTGAGTTTTCATTACTTTGTTTATGGTGATTATGCATTTATTCTACTTTTTTTAAGTGACCATTTTTTTCTTAGAGTTTAATTATCATTCATCTGTTAAACATCCCACATTTACTTTTGGTGGCATTACTGGGCAAACAATATCAACCGTAGCATTCAAACTAAAAGAAAAATAGAGTTTTAATAAATGTCGGAGATTGTGAGATAATGAAACAATGAAACCAACATAAAACTATTTAGGTAATGTTGCAACGCAGCTAAAAATGACGCATAAGTGACGCAATATGTAATTGGTGCGTGCGTCACGTGACAATATCCCATCTAACTGGGACTTTGCTTCAAAATGGTGGGAAGTATTCATCTCGATACAAAATTCAATAATCGAAAAATATGGATTCTTGGCCGACGTCTTACTAGCCGACTTCTATACAACTTAACCAAAACCAACCATGATTTCCTCACCTCATTCTCGGTCAAGCACTATCACTTCTATATTTAAACAGAATCAACCATCAAACGCTGCAACAGGTCTTCCAACCGAGTGTCTTACGCAGATATTCGAAAACTTCGACGTAAACGACTATGCTGGTTTGCATACGGCACTTTTGGTGAATCGTCGATGGTGTAAAGTCGCTGTCGCTTATCTCTGGCAAGCTCCATTTACTTTGGAAAACTTGTCAATGCGACGACAGGAGAATCTCATTTCAGCTTATATAAAGTCTTTAAGTGTTGAAGCGAAACAACAACTTATAACAGAGTATGATTTGAAGCTACCAAATCAGTTAGGTATAGAAGCTACTGCTACTTTTAATTATGCTTTGTTTTTAAAAGATTTGGATATGGAAAGACTTTTTAAAACGGTTGAAACATGGTGGGAAGAGAGTTGCGAAAAGATTGGGTGTCAACGAACTCGTACAAAGTTTCTTCGTAATCGGTTTCTCGTAAATCAATCACATACATCAATTATTAATGATAATGATGACAACTCTAGTTTGAATTCCGGTGATGACGAAGATAACAAGATTCTCGATAAAGAAGACACTAATAAACATAATCATACTACTACCGCGGACAACACGAATCAAAAAAAATCCGTAGAATTTGAAGATAAAACTGGCAACTTTCAGGGTAACATTTTCAAAGAGACACGAGAGCGCGAACGTATACGTCAGGAATTAAAAATGAGACAAATCCAGATGACAATGATGACTCTCTGGCAGCACTTTTATCGATCGTCAAAGGTACACACATTCCGATATAATACCGCACATACATTATTCCCAGACAGCATGAATTTAATATCGACGATACCACAAATTGATTCAAGATTTTTTTCGCGCGTTCAAACACTGGAGATGGGTGAAAGGACTCCGGAAGGGATCTTTGAGTTAATTTCATCGCACAATTGTCAAATGATTCATTCATTGAGTGTCAAATATCCAGTGACCGATCAAGCAATTACCGATTTAGCAAAATTGGTTACTATGCAAGAATCGCTCGAGTATTTATGTTTGCATGGATCCGGAGGAGGAATTCGAAAAATTGTCGATGCTTTACAATATCAATTATCATCGTTGAAGTGTGTAAATTTTTACAAAACGCACATAACGCAATCATTATTAATTACGCTTGGAAATGCACCGAATTTATCACTTGTTATATTTGATAGATGTCGTGCATGTTTCTTGCCAGATTGGAGACCAGCTCGCGATCCCGCAACATGGCGCGCACTGGAAAAATTGGTGGCGATCGAAACAGATTTGCCAGAGGAAGTACTGCAAAATATCATTGCTAGTGCAATTCGCACTTTATGTGGGTTATGGGTGAGAAATCATGACAACAGATTCGGTGTGGAATTTAATAGAGAAATATTAGACTTTGCAAGACAATGTTGTATTAATGAAATAATTTCTGATCCTGAGTTACAGCCTCGATTGCAAAGACTCAATTTTGAATAAATTTTTATTATAAGTGACGATGACCTATCGATATTAATAGTACGAAATCAACTTTTCCTAAAAAAGATCTCATCAAATCCTTTTGTTTGTTTGAAAAATTGAAATTTTATAGATAAATATAGACATTATTCATTTTTCATATAAATACACCGGATTCTCATCACCATATTGGACTCGAGTTTTCAATTGGACTTTATTGAGATTGGTGGGGGGGGGGGAAATAAAATTGCATATTTATCTTTTCATTTGTATATTTTTATTCAGTTTATAAATTGTATAATATATAGAGCATATATATAAATCGATTATTAGCATTTATGATCCGCAATTTGTAAAATGATGAAACTAATCTTTTTAAATATATTAATAAAAAATTGTGATATATAGTATTTATTATTATGCACAGGTTTACAATTTTATATAATTCAGGAAAATTCATTTAAATATTCTACTCTCTTCCAGAACAACGAGGTACCGTGTTTGGTCCTAATTTCTAGCATGATATTGGGATCGTTCGTTGTCAAAAGTTTAAGATCCTCATCTTCCGACCAAAAATGTTCTTTCATTTGGGTTGGAATCTTTTGGTCGTTTTTGAAATATTCCACGATTGCTGGGAAATTGCAGGTAGTTTTGTGAGCTAATAATATGACTTCTCTCGGTGTTACTTGGAATTGATTAGCAATGTATTTAATCTCGTTGCGAAATTCGGCTACCGTCATAAGTCTCGTTCTTGCGTTATGGTTTTCTTTATCAGGTCTATAAATGACTCCTTCTAGGTCGGCGAACTCGGGGTGTCTTTGTGGAGGCGATTTTCGCATTGGTGTAGATAAACGTTGCATTTGAAATCTTGAAATACCAGTTTCTGGTGTACATTTGATTGATATGGGTGTAGAAGAATACGAAGAATTGCCACGCCGCGTTGGAGTTATCGAGGTAATTTCATTATCTCCACGTTCATCATCTGTAATAGGGTGTACCAAAGTATTGTCATCCGATTGAGAGGGACTCGTGCTTCTTTGGCGTAAGTCATCGGGAATAAGGTGTACCAAAATATTGTCATCAGATTGAGGTGGACTCGTTCTTCTTTGGCGTGAGTCGTCGGGAATAGGGAGTAACAAAGTATTGGCATCAGATTGAGATTGACTCGTATTTCTTTTGCGTAAGTTAGGAAGTTCCTTTGGGAAGTAAGGGAGGATAAATTTTAATGCGTAACTTCTAATAGATTGCCAGGTATGTCGACCGTTTATTAACCCAGGATAATTCTTATATATAGCATTTCCACACAACGCTTCCCCTTCTTGTTTTTTTTGTAATAAATATGCTTTTAATTCGGCGGTTTCTTGTGTATTAAAGGGAGAACGGTCTTTTTTAGGACCACCAGAGGGTTTTATGTATGGCAATTCTTTCATTTTGAGAATGTTGTGATGCAGCAGGGAATAACAAAGACATCCAATAGATTCAATAGATTTATTGATGCGTCAAAATTTTTATGAAGTCACGAAATTGTTGTCATGTGGTTTAGATCACGAGATTGTTGATGCCACTGAATTTCGCCAAATTCCCACGGGCCTAAACTAAAAAATTCATTGGTTTTGCCATTTGTTTGGATAACATATCAATACACGAGATATTAAATCATTGTGAAATTCACGTGATTCATATATTTAAGCCAAAAATATCAAGTTGTAGCAAAGATAATTTGAAAAAAATATTCAAAACCAGGATTTTTTCTCTTTAATATTTTAATTACTAATTAAAATAAGTTCTAATATTGTTTATGAAGTTTTGAATAATAATTTATTATATTATATACAGTGGCAATCAAAAATAATGCAACGCTTAAATTTTTTACTAATTATAATTAGTAAAATACATATT